AAGGCAGACACTTAATGACTGAGCCACCCAGGCGCCCCTAATCTAGCACTTTTTATTCAATGTTTATCTGAGGAAATATCTGAGAATTCTTTGTATAGAGAAGGAAAAGGAAAAAGTAGTTTAAAAATTCCCAATCTTCTTCCTAAAAATCCCTTTACTGGCTAAGGCACTAGTGATGAAGATCATGAATATTATTTACTCTCTGCTAAAAAATTTAACATTGAGAGTAATCAGAAAAAAAGAAACAATGATCTTATGCAATGTGAGTGCTTTTCATAATGGTTTTCCTATGATTGGGCAGAATGAAAACTCAGTTTTAGCTGGGACTTCTATCTGACCTCTGTCATAAATGACATAATTTTTCATACGAAAGCTATCACTACCACAAATACAAAAATGCTATCTAACTCATATACAACTAAAATTCATTCATTGTGGAGTAAGAAGGGTACAGTGTTTTCCTGTAAATAGGACAGTAATAGTGTAAAATGGAAAACAGTGAGAGGGCAATTTTTCCATCAATAAACCATATTTTCCTTTGCCTTTCCATTAAAACAATTTCATAGATTTGTTTTCCCCTACCTTTTCCAGTTCCTTCCAATCATAATTTGTATTTCCAATAACCATTGCTTGTAGTTCATTTGGCTGGAAGAGTTGAAGGACCTTTCCTCCACAGACCTTATGAAAGCCCTCATGAAAAGCATCAAACAAGGAAGCCACTGATTTATTGAATATGTAATCCACATAAGCATCAACAAACTCTTGCCTAGAAATGAAAAGGCACACATGGCACAGAATATAAAAATCTTTTTTTTATGGAGAATAGATACGTAGTTAAAAGTTTGAGTGCTCCTGTACTTTTTGTTACTTATCTTTAAAACTGAGAAAGTATGACTAGGATTCTAAGGGGACAAAGTCTTTAACAAGAAGTTTATTATTCTTTCTATACAAAAATCCAGTATTATCTAGGAGGCATGTAGACTTAATTTATCATTCACAGCCCAATGTAAATGAAGCTATTCCAAAGTGAAACGTCATTTCCTAATGCGTCATTTCCTAATGGGAAGAATGACGACACAAATGTCTATCAAAATAATTTTTCAATACTCACAAACTATTGAGATGTATATGCACCACTCCACATGTATCCCTAAAGAGAGTCATCTGTTAAAAATATCAGGTGATAAAAAAATGAGAGCTTTGGGATTCAGACTATTAGACAAACAACAGTCTGTTTTTCCTCGGGTTTCAAGGGATCTGAAAACAAAATTTATTTTTTAATTTTTTTTTAAGTAGGCTCTATGCCTAATGTGGGGCTTGAACTCATGACCCTAAGATTAAGAGTCACATGTTCTATCGACTTAGCAAGCCAGGTGTCCCAACAAAATTTATTTTAAAAACTAAATACCTGAAAGGTTTATTAAGCACTGGATAATCATTAAATATTACAAGTACAGTTTTCTTTTCAAAAGTATGTGTGTATACACATATGTACCCATACACACACAAACACTTCTGATGCTTTTTCCTGCCTGTTATCACTATGATAGAAAAGGAAACTATAAAAGAAAAAGGCCCTTTACCCAGTAATCCAGTAATTGCACTACAGTTTTATTCAATTTGTTCTGTTAGCCACAAATATTTTATGCAGCTATCTAGTCAAACAAATAATGAGAATGGGTACCAGAGGATTTCAATACTTTATATTCCTGTCTTCCAAATTAAAAAGGATAATTCTACAAATGGGAATATTGGCAAATTCAGTTATCTACAGATAATCATCTTAGCAAATTATGAAATAATTCCAAAGTGAATTTACAAAGAGGAAAAAAAAAAAGGTTAAAGGAGACCATTGTAAAATTGGGCAGGCCTAAGGAAAAATCAGTAGCATATACTATTAGATTCTGATGAAAAGAAGCAGGTAATTTTGTAATGGCATAATTTTATAATTAATCTAATTGGAAAGTGAAATTTATCTGTACTAGTTAAGTGCCTTAAACACAAAAGGCTAAATTATTTTATGGGCTAACATTTTTATCTTCAACACTTTCATTATCTAACTAGGATTGGTAATACAAAGATAAAAATTCTTTATTTCTAAACTAGATAAAAAACTAGAGACTTTAAAAGCAGGAAAAAAAACCTTTCTAAATCAGTTTTTCAAAACCAAGATTTTTTTTTAAAAGAAAGGATAGTTAGAAAGACCTAAATTTTTTCACATTATTTTAAAAACAGCTTTATTTTTATCAAAGGAAGACATATGTACAGTTTAAAATGTCAGATAGTAATACTAACAGCCAACATTTACTGAGCACGTAACATGTGCTAGGTACTATTCTAAGCATCTTAGAATTATTGCCTCATTTAATCCTCAAAATAGCCCCATGAAACAGGTACAATTTACCATCCCATTTTACAGAAGAGGAGACTGAGGCATGGACACATTCCTACAGTTACACAGCTTCTAAGTAGCGGAACTAAGATAATAACCATTTGGATAAAGTCCCTGGCAACAGCCAATAAGCTAGCTCTACACAGTAGAGAACGAAGCAGTTCTGTCTTGCACCTTTAGAAATTCCAGATATTCGAAGGAAAATTCTTAACTTTTTGCTATTCCTTCTGATATTTACCTTCAAACTTCAATAACCTAATTATATTGTTATTCCTTAATTTTCAGTTTAAAATATAATCTAATGAACTGATTATCTATTGTGGAAGATAAGGATTTACCTTTTATTTAGTTGCCCCATTCTCATTTTGTCTCCCCAAAACCTTCCATTATAACAATTTTGGTTCACTATTCACTAAAGTTAACATTTTTATGATTATAAATAGTATTCAGAATTAAGCTAGAATATTTTATGGTTACCTGCCTTTTCTTAAAAAGAACTTCTGCAGTCAATTGTTTCCCTAATTTGCTACTTCATCCCTAACTTCAACAGAAATGTCAATCTCCTTTAGACTCATTCAACTCTAGGGAGCATCATTTGTATTCCATCCTCTTGATTTCACCCACTTTGGTTGCTCTTCCTAAACCTACACACTGCTGTTCCTGCAGAAGGAATTCTCTTTGCCTCTCTTCTATATTGGGTCCTATTTTTCTGGATCCTGTCTTTCTCTTACTTGGTTTAATTCCTTGTCTGGTAGAACACATCTTCCCGTAACTTCCTGAGAAAACTGCACTGGAAGTAGATTTCTCTGAGACTCTGGATGCATGAAGATGTTTTTATATACGCTCACATACTTGATAGTCTTGATACAGAATTTGAAGTTTAAAAAATAATCTTTTCCCAGAATTTTGATCTCCTAGCTTCAGTGTCATTCTTTAGAAATTTGATGTTATTCTGATTCTTAATTCTTTGTATATAGCATGCTTTTTTTTCTTTTTCCTGGAAGGTTTTAGGATCCTTTTTTTCCCCTGGGATTTTAAAATTCTATTTTGCCTTGGTAGGTCTTTTTTTTTTTTCCTCTCACTTTCCATGCTTTCAATTTTAAGGCATATCTTTTAAGGCCTGTCATTCAATTCTGTAAAGTTTTTTGGTACCACTTCTTTGACAAATTTCTTTCAGTGAATTTTTTTTTCAATTTTTAATTGAATTTTTGATTTTTAAGTGAATAATTTTTAGTCCATATAGATGAATACTGATTACAGTTTCTTTTGAAGTTTTGTTCTTCATCCTGCATTGTTTCTCTTTCCTTGACATTCTTTTCAACTGTTTTGAAGGGCTATCAATCTTTGGCTATCCATTCATATTTAAAAGTGAGACAGTGTATCCAAAGAATCCTCCAAAATACAGTACCAAGGCGGGGTGGTTGTAGACTCAATCCACTTGTTTTCAGTTCTGCCTCTTACCCCCCTGGCTGTGTCTATCTATACTCAAATCCAAAGTCCTCTTCGAAGCCTCCCACCCCACCCCCAGGATATCCAAAGCCCTTTAGTTCAATCTCCCCAGAAGATAAATTTCTGATCATCTGCCCAGGCTACTGTGCTAATTAAAATGGGTGTCTAACTGCTTTTTATAACAGCAATCTTTCTGTTTCCAGCATTCCCCTGAACTCCATACACTTTCTAACATTTTTTATTCTCAATGCCCAAGACTTTGTGCTGCAATATAAACTGGCTGCCAGGATTCTTGGCTCCTCCCAGTCCATCTTATATTGCAGCTTTCTCTGGTTGGCTGAAGTTAGTTACCCCTGTTTTCTAGCTTCCAAAAATGAGTTTGCTGTTGTCCCCTCTACCTTCTCTTTGTTTTGCTTGTTTATGATCTTTTTATCCCAAACTTTAGTAATATCTTAAAGGGATTTCAGAAGCAAAAGGCAGTTACTTCCTTACTAACCATTCAAAAAGTAAGTTTTATCTGAGTAAAAACTTAAGGTTGTGACAAGTTTCTATATACAGAAGAAAAATGCCTACGGAATCTTATTACTACCACTGATGCTGCTATAATTCACTTACCGATTTTGTTTGTTAACAGCTGTGTCTGCACCATTTAGAACCAGCTCTTTCACTTCTGTTGCACCAAAGTTTTCAACTGTGATCTATTAATTTAAATTTTTAAAAAAAGTCAATGTCAGACTCAAAACTTACTAGATTTTAATAACCTATTATTATATTCTATCTTTCCCTCATTAAATATAAGAATAAAGTTGAGGTAAAATTCTGTTACTACCATAAGCTTATTTGTGAATTCTGCATAAAGCCACAACTAGAAATTTTCATCCTCTGTAGTAGTTTGAAATCCTACCGTGACTAGTTAATTACAAATTACCAAGTGTTTGGTTAGTTAAGAACAGGAAACTGAGTACTTATTATGTGTAAAACTTTTTTAGAACAATCACTACAGGAGTAAAATATTAGAAAGGATGTTTTCCTTGTACACGTGACAGAATCTAAGTGTCAAAATGTATGCAGCCCAGACCAGCTATGCATTCTTCTCACATTGACAGCTACTACTACTGTATTCCTAATATCTGCCTTGTTTGCATTCTTGATCACAGGTGATTTTTCCAGTATTAATTGGATCCAGCTATTAATTGGATTTATAAAGACAGTCAATTATTTCTAAACTTTTTATTTCCCTTACAGTAAGTCTGCTAATTTTCCTATTGATATTAACAATCCCACATCTGTATCTTTTTCTAGTCCCTCTTTTTGGAATATTATTCTCTTCTATTAGAACATTTTCTTTTAGTACCTGCTATCTAGAAAATACTGTGGTGGCAGTGGGATGATAAGAGATGAATAAAACCCTGCTGTGGAGTTTACTATCTAGTTAAAGAGGAGAAATGTGTTATGTAAACAACTTCTTATAATAAAATAAATGCTATAATAGAGACATGAACAAAACGCTATCAGACCACAGAAGAACACTCACTTCTAAGTGGAGGAAATATGAAAGACCTCAAGGAAGAAATGTCATTTGAAAAGCACCTAGAAGGATGAGTAGGCTCTCAAAAGACTGAGACGGGACAGGATTTCTGACTGAGCACAGAGATTGGGTAAGATAGATATGAGAGTAAATACCAAGTTCTGAAAATGTATGGCCCTAAAAAACAGAAAGATAAGGTATGTGAGAGAATACTGTGTGACATGATAAAACTTGATATGAATGGAGGGATACAATGTAAGTTAGAAAGTCATATTACAAATGTTTTTGAAGGCCGTTATTGATCTATTGCTATGCAAGCAATAAAGAGCCACTAAAAATTTCTGTGAAAGAAATGGCAGTGGGAAGGAATGTTTAAATTCCCATAGTTCTTGAATATACTAACCATTCACAAACTTGGTGATTGATAAGTCAGAAATTATATTGTTTGGAACCCAATGTTTCAGTCCATTGAGATAATCAATAAAGATTCAAAGATACTGCTATAAGTGAAAGTGAATTGAAGAATTAAACCATTGGAAAACCAACCATTCAGTTGAAATGGGGAACTAAAAATTTCATAGTAAATAGAGAAAGCCCAAGGAGGACCTTTTTTCTTGAAAAAAAAAAAAAAAAAGTGTTAAGTTCATTTATTTCATCTTAAATCTACCAAATTTTCTTACAATTGTACTATGTGCCAATTCTTAAAATGATAAAAAAATGGATAAACTTTTTTGATGGGGGCACATAGTATATTTTGGCAAATTGTGGGATAGCAGAATATGGTTATTTGTCAGATCTGACCTCAAGATCATAAAGAGGACTCTTGGAGGGGGGGAGGGGGGAGGGATGGACAAACAAATACACAATGTTTTTAAAACGAAAAGAAAAAGACAGAAAACCGAAGGTTTTACCATTTTCCCAAGAGATTAATTTATAATATTCAAATCATTCCATTCTGAAGTGCCTTCTCATAATCCTTGCTGATTTTCTCTTGTCAACTGTCTACTTCTGCCAGGTCCTCGTTTGTCAATGGTTTTGCATTTGGATGGGTAAGTTATTCAACATCCCTTTCACTGAATTAACAAAATTCTGTATCTTTGACAAGATTTGCAATTTCATTTTCCAAATAACATTCCAACATATTTGCATTTTCACTGTGGTACGTCATTTCCAAAGTAAGATAAATGGGCAAGGACAAATACTAGTGTGAAGCAGAAAGGGATGTCTGAGTAGGAATTAATCTTTTAAGTGGTAAGTTCATTACTGAATATTCTAATGTACAATAACCTTTGCTTCTCTAAACATTCTTGTAATTTCAGACTCAAAAATGAATACTTGAATAAAGAGGTCCTCTTGCATTTATAAAGGATCTTTAGCATAATGACAGAGCACTAGGCTCTGAAGTCACAGGCCTGGGTATAAATATTATTATTGACATGTAATGATTGTTTTCAGTTTTCTTCATCTGTAAAATTAGGATAATAATACTAATCTCATAGGACTGTTATGAGGATTAAATGAAGTAATGTACGTACTGTGACTAGCATATAGTTAATGCTCAATAAATGTTAGCTAAAGGGTTAAGAATTCCACTCATCAAAATAAAAAAAAACAACCCCAAAGCCATAAGGCACAGCTGTTAAATAAAAGGGATGATGAATAATCAGGCTATTCTGTCTTTCCATCTTACCGTAAAATTAAGACAAAATGTTTCCTCAACATCATCTTCTGGATAATCCAGTAACTGTTGCATGCTTCTGCAAAACAATATGCATGTTTCTTTGAGGTAAAACATTATTGGGTATTTTGACTATTTTAGTTATGAATAAATATATATTTCTCATTCATTCTTGATAAAATCTTTTTATTAATCTATACTTTTATATTTGTTTCAGAATGCTAGATATACGGTGGCTAGCGAATGAACAATTCTGAAGAAAAAAAAATCACTCTAAGGTTTTTATCTCTTCTTCTGAATACAAAGGCCATATATCTACCTATTTTCAACATTTGTTCTTATTTATATACAATTTCTATTCCATTTTATGTAATAAATAAAAAGAAACTTTACATATTCCAGCTAGGAATGAAGGTAATCAGAAGTCCAAATAAATCATTTAACTACTCTCAGGAAACATTACCTTCCTAAGTTTATTATCTGATATTTGCAAAATATTGTTAAATTACTAAAAATTTAGCAAATGGTTGTATACATATAAGTCTTTCAGTAGAAAATTCTGGATCTGGGTAACATGAAGAGTTCTCCAATATCAGAAGGGCTTTTGTTTATTTTAGAAATTCAACAAGAACAAAACAGAATTATTCCTAAAAGGAAAGCTTTCTGTACATTTCCCATTCCCTATTAAAACCCTTGTCACTTTTTGTTACTAACCTTCCAACATCAGGTACTAGTTCCTTCAAATCATCCAAGGATGGCTTCTTTTTTAGCAGTTTTTTATACAAAGCCAAAGGAAAGTGGAGGTCCACAATAGTAAAATTATAAATTGCTAATCCACAGATAACACCAATCAAATGGAATAAATCACTGTCTTCAAATGTCTAAAATAACAGAAAAAAAAGTAAAGACGTCTTCTCCCAAGTTTTAAAATAATAAATTTTTCTGATGACAAAAACACATACTTGTAGTAAAAAATTCTGAACATACAGAAATAAGTAATGAAAAAGCTCATTCTCTCTCTCTCTTTTAAAAGATTTTCTTTATTTATTTGACAGAGACAGAGATAGCGAGAGCGGGAACGCAAGCAGAGGGAGTGGGAGAGGGAGAAGCAGGCTTCCCCCCAAGGAGGGAGCCCGATGTGGGACTCGATTCCAGGACCCTGGGATCATGACCTGAGCTGAAGGCAGACACTTAACAACTGAGCCACCCAGGTGCCCCGAAAAAGCTCATTCTTACTCACATCTCCCTGGGATAGTATCACTATTAGTATTTCTGCACATTTCCATCCAATATATTTTCTAAGACAAAATAAAGACCTAGCTAAGATCAGACTAAATGTATAACTTCACAATTAGCTTTTTTCCCAGAAATATAAGCATTTCCACATCACTAAGCACTAAATTAATAAGTGAAATGACTATTAGAACATTTAATCTGATTTAAATAATTGTACACATTCAAAATTTGGAAAACAAAAAGCATAAAGAAAATGAATAAATGCCTGTAATCCGATCACTCAGAAACAAGGATTTAAAAATATTTTTATATATTTGCAACCACTATAAGTTCAAAAAAATAATTTAAAAACATAGTTAAGGTTTTCTTTTGTCTAATCACAAGTATTTTCTTATATCATTAAATATTCTTCTAGAACATGATTTTTATTTATGTAATTTTATTTTATTATTTTTTAAAGTAGGCTCCACAGTGAAGCTTGAACTCATGACCCTGAGATCAAGACCTGAGTGAGATCAAGAGTTGGACGCTCAACTGAGTCACCCGGCAGCCTCAGAGAACATGATTTTAATGGTTGCATATCACTCTTATAAAAGTACCAAGGCCTGCTAAATTAGCTATTTTACTATAGTTGGACATTTAGATTAAGTCACTGAAAACAATGCTTATTTCCCCCTATCTTTAAAGAAGCAATATATGGTCACAGAAAATTCAGTGAGCATGACAGTTAAAAGAAAAACATTTTTTTATCAGATTTGGGGCTCCAGACTTAGTTCTTTCACTATCTAGCCTCAGTATGTTCAAAGATAAAAATATATTTATCTCATAAGGTTGTTTTGAGGATGAAATGGGATTAATGTATGTAAAATACTTTTAGCCCAGTTCCTGCAGCACATGGTAAAGGCACAATAAATGATGGTTATTCCAACTAGCTAGTAATATTCAAAATAAGTAAGATGGTATCATTTCTGCACATATATATATATATAAAGATTTTTTGAGAGAGAGTGAGCACACACAAGTGGGTGCATGTGTGAGCAGGGTGGGGGGAGGGGTAGAGGCAGAGGGAGAGAATCACAAGCAGACTCAGCACTGAGCATGGACCCCCAAGTTGGGCTGGATCCCACAATCCTGAGATCATGACCTGAGTCATAACCAAGAGTCGGATGCTTAACTGACTAAGCCACCCAGGCGCCCCATCATTTCTACATATATTTTTGTCCATAGTTTGGAAAATCTACTTAGGAGAAATTTTGCTTTGTAAGAAGAATTTTGAAGTCAAATGACAGCTAAGCATATCCCGAAGCTATTTTTGTTCACACCTATTCCAATTTACCCTGACATCTGCAGTCTAGGAAAATGTCTCTTTCCATATTTTCATCTGTAATACACACAAACACACATTTATATCTGAGTTAAAAAATGAAAACTTGGGGCACCTAGGGGGCTCAGTCAGTTAAGCATCTGACTCTTGATTTCAGTTCAAGTCATGATCTCAGGGTTGTGATACTGAGTCCCCCACCGGGCTCCATGCTGGGTGGGGAGCCTGCTTAAGATTCTCTCTCTCCCTTCTGTCCCTTCTCCCCCCGCAAATAAGACAAGAAAATTTGTTTAGTATGTATTTTTGTCTATTAGTGATACTGCAAATTAGGGATTTGTGAATGCCTCTTTGTATTCTTGGCCCATTTACCTTTCAGGGGCCAGTGTTTTCTTTCTTTCTTTCTTTGGTGCAAAAAGATGATTTTATTAAAGCACGGGGACAGGACCCATGGGCAATGAGAGCTGCTGCCGCTAGCATTTTCTTATATATTTATATTTGAATTCTTCATATACCAGGAATTAATATTACCCTATGTCATATTTGTTACATATATCCCAGTCTGCTATATGCTTTTTAATAATCTTACTTTTGTCATGCATAAATGTCACATTTTTTTCCAGTGGTCAAAATTTTTTTTATTTTTTTTAAATTTTTATTTATTTGATAGAGAGACAGTGAGAGAGGGAACACAAGCAGGGGGAGTGAGAGAGGGAGAAGCAGGCTTCCCACTGAGCAGGGAGCCCAATGCAGGGCTCGATCCTAGGACCCTGGGATCATGACCTGAGCCGAAGTCAGACACTTAACGACTGAGCCACCCAGGAGCCCCAATCCCTTTGTTTTAATATATCACCTACTTGAGAATCCAGAGACACTTTGGCTCATCCTTTCCAAAAAAGCAAGGGACTTTTACCACTCATCCTATTTTCAACCCTACTTGAGTACCTCTGACTTTCAGAGTCTTAATGTCTTAACAGCTGAGCTAGCTTAGATACTAGACTTTAAAGGTATTTTCTGGTACTTCCAGTTCCTCAGCCTGAAATACAAATTAGCCTGTTTCTCATTGGCTTTTCTCTTAACAAGCTACTGTTTCAGTTTCTTCTGCTTTACTGAATCAAGTACCAGCCATCTGTCTACTTTTCATATTTTAAAATATTAATATCTCTTTAGTGATATTAAAACAATCCCCTATACTTTTTTTTCTTGTGGGTTTATTATCATTTTTATTCCTTTATTCTCATTTAGAGGGATTTCAGGAGGAAGATAGATTAACACATTATTCAATCTGCCCTATTTAAGAAGGACTTTCTAAACTTAAATGCAGTATAGGACATCACAGAGGAAAAAGATTAATTTGACCACTGGAGGGGTGCCTGGGTGGCTCAGTCTTTAACCATCTGCCTTCAGCTCAGGTCATGATCCCAGGGTCCTGGGATCAAGCCCTGCATTGGGCTCCCTGCTCAGTGGGAAGCCTGCTTCTCCCTCTCCTACTCCCCCTGCTTGCATTCCCTCTCTCGCTGTGTCTCTGTCAAATAAATAAATAAAATGTTAAAAACAAAGAAAACAAAAAAAACCCCACAAAGGGATCAAAGTGTTCAAGGGGATTAAGAGTACAAACTTCCAGTTATAAAATAAATAAGGGATATAAATTGCAGCATACAGAATATAGTCAATAATATTTTAATAACTCTGTACAGTGACAGATGGTAACTACACTTATCACAGTGAGCACTAAGTACTGTATATACATGCTAAATCACTAATGTTACATACCTGAAACTAATGTAATACTGAAGGTCAATTATACTTCAATTAAAAACATAATTTAAAAACTTAAAACATAAAATAAATACAAAAAAACAAGACGATCAAATGAAGGTGTATATAGTTAACAATGAGAATCCTAGCTTCCCTTTCCAGTGTTCAGAACACTACTAGAACACTGGCAGTCAAAGAGTAAAAAAACCCAAAGAGTGAAAAACTATATACGTTGACATTTGACGGTTCCCCCTTGAAATGCCCATACCTAATCACTCTATGAATAAGGACTTTAAATCATAAATGTGTTCGCCCAGGGGCACCTGGGTGGCTCAGTCAATTAAGTGTCTGACTCTTATCTCAGGGTTCTGAGTTCAAGCACTGTGTTGGGTTCCACACTGGACATGGAGCCTACTTGGGAAAAAAAAGAAAAAAAATGTGTATGCCCAAACTAGTAGCTTTTTAGTGTCATATTCTTTTTTTTAAAGATTTTTTATTTATTTATCTGAGAGAGAGAATGGGAGACAGAGAGCATGAGAGGGGAAGGGTCAGAGGGAGAGGCAGACCCCCCGCTGAGCAGGGAGCCCAATGCAGGACTTGATCCCGGGACTCCAGAATCATGACCTGAGCCGAAGGCAGTTGCTTAACCAACTGAGCCACCCAGGCGCCCCAGTGTCATATTCTTAAATGTGAATAAAAAGTCAAGGATCAGAAGAAAAAGATAAAAAAGAAATAAAAGAAACCTGGAGGAATAGTTGGTACTGTGGCGGAGGGGGGAACAAAAAATGTCAAACAACAAAAAAAGTACCCAGTATTCAACAAAAATTTATTAGGCATGCAAAAAAAGAAGAAATATGGCCCATTCATAGGAGAAAAAGAAATCCTATAAATTGTTGAGAAATCCCAGACACTGGATTTTCTAGATGAAGACTTAACCATTTCATTTTACTTATTTATTTATTTTTAAAAAGATTTTACTTATTTATTTGAGAGAGAAGGAGAGAGCACAAGCAGGGGGAGCTGCAGAGGGAGA